CATTAGATAAGACAGACATTTAACCAGTAATCAACTAAAATAATTAGTGATTTTAATTGACAAAATAACAAAACTTATAAAAACAATTAGCTGATTGAGTTATACTGCTTAAAAAGAACATGTAAGATGTATACTTCCTGCTGTGGAGAGGCTTTTAAGACATGTTAAGTATGGGTAAATGAGTCACAATAAGTTGTACAAATTGACAGACAACTTCCTATGATCATTCTAAAGATAATGGAAGAAAGTAAGTAAGGAAATGGGAGAGTTGGCAGGGAGAGCATGGGTAGACTTGGGATGGGAGAGAAAAAACAAATCATACAGAGCCAACATCTGTGTTGAAATTTGAGGCACTGAGCTTAGAATCATGGAGAATCGTGATAAACTACGGAAAAGATGAGTTTTGAATGACATTGCCAGTCTTCTTAGAACAGATGATTATGGCCAACATAATGAAATCAAGACAAGAGATGCTCGCTAAACCAGCTGGTTCAATAAAAGAGATAAAAGCCAGTCCACAACTTATGCATCACACATGAATTGATATTTTCTGGAATTAGGAAAAAGTGGACTAACATATATCACACCAAGTTCAATTTTTAAAGTAGAGTAATATATACCTAATTTATAATTTGAGAGTGTTTTATAGAAAAACATGTAGTGCCACAGAAAATAAGATTCTATATTCAATACAATATGAACATAACATATTAAAATTTAAATGTTCTAATACAAAAATCGATTAAAGTCATAGGCATTTGAGATTGAGGAAAAGCTGTCAAGCCAAAGACTGACTAATGCCCTGATAGTCCACAAGATGGCAGCAGTACAACTGCTAAAATTCATCAATCACCAAAGCAATTAGGAATCCTTCATTTGAGTTGAGAGAGATCCTTAAGTTCAAAAATTAAATCCCCTTGAATATATATTTACTTGCATTGTATGTTATGTACATTCTCATGAATGTGTATAAGTAGTTCTCCCTCGTATTTTTTTTTTCAGTTATAGCTTGCTGTTGTAAATTTGAGAGTTAATTCAGCTGAAGTTGTGAGTGAAATTCTTCTGCAATGACATAATTCCTGATCCACAGGACACTCTCTTACCTTGCCTCTGGCCAATAATACCCATGCCTAACTAAAGAATGCAGCAAAGCAAAATATGCAAATCACGAAGACAAATAAGAACCTTCCAAAGTCTTAACCCGAATGCTTTTTGAAATGTCAAAGAATACACGTAGACTTTTCTAAAATTTGGCAAGATAACTTAAGGATAGTAAGGAATAAGAAAGCAAGCATGCAAATATTATCAGGAGTATGAGTATTTGAGATTTTCTACACTCAAACCATTTTGCTATAATTTTCTTTCTAATGAAAATTAATTGATAGTTGGCTAAGAGTTATGTGCATTTAAGATATAGCAAAAAAAATGGAAATGCAAAAGTCTGATTCACTCCTTTCCAATACATCGTTCCAGTGAGCTCTTGCTGAAATGACCCACCCCTTCTTATCCTTGCCCATGCATGAGCACCCATGCTCAGCTCATGAGAAAGCTTCTTCTTCCTCTTTTAACCTCTTCCACTTGGTGAGCCCAGCTCCACACCACAGCCATTCCTGCTCCAAGCTCTTAAAATAACTATTATTGACTATGCTAAATTACTGTCTGTCATGATATGATTTAAAAATAGCAGTATATTTTCTGGTCCCTCTTATGTAATCTCTGCATATCTAACACCCAGTGATATGTACTCCCCTGGTTTTGTAAATGAACCATATAAATTGATCAAAGACAGATTTTGTAGGTTAAAAATCCTGAAAACTTATCAAGTCTGTTTGGATGCCATGTGGAATTTTATCAAGCTGTTTCACTGGAGCAGATAGTCACTCCAGCCTCACACACTTACATATTCGTTTAGAAAAATGCTACCTTTGTCTGAAACTAATGAAGACAAATTTCTCTATAGCATGTACAAGGTACTTTGCTTACTTTGCTCCATTCTGGGCTATTGAGACATCTTAGTAGGTAAGAACACTTTCTACAAAGTCTTAGAACCCACATGGTGAAAGGGGGGAAACAACTCCACACAATTGTTCCCTGATCTCCTCACACTACATTTCTGCACGCACACAATCTATCAATCAACATTATTTTTAATTACAGAATCCAATCCCTTAGTTTAACTCCAGTAACATAGGAAAAAAATAATAAATCCAACAATTACAACTTAATCCAATTTTTTTTCTCTCAGTGCACTCTGTAGTGAGAAATCTAAAGATATTCTGGCAGTTCGATGAATTAAATTTAATAAGGAGAATCTTTAGAAAGATTCTACTAACTCACGAGAAACTTTCTCTTCCATTTTCCATGACATTCCTTTGATGGTAATAATGTTAGAGAGCAGAAAAGTAGAACAAAAAAAGAAGCAATATTTTAACATAAGCTTAAGATGAGCATGACCATAAAATTCCGGGAGCCTGACGCTCCAAAGGACAAAACCTTATTGTTGTATGAAGTGTTAAACATTTAATTTGAGGAGACTCATTTATCCTGTGAAATACCACAGTCTGACACGGCCCATCTCGAGATAACATGAGTTCTCACAGCTATTCTTCCTGCTCTCCATGTAGGACAAGCCATTTTTATAAACTTTGAATTGGCTACAGGAGGCTACATTGAACTCTGCCCACTAAGGAATAACAAATTCTGAGTTCCTGAATATTCTTGATATCTGCAGTCCTTTGCTTCAAGGGTAAATTGATTGGCAGGGTGGGGTGGGGGGGTCAGTGACACTGAATGTATTGCAGGCCAAAATATTACCCAGAAACATGGAGTTATCAACAGGCAATAGATATTACAAGTCCAAAGTTCACTTAGTTTATTAACAGAGCACTATCATGAGATTACCACTGTCCTCAAATCATCTGGATCCCTAGGAAAATCAAGCCTCTTCCCAACTGTACACAAGGAAAACTCGAACACTCACAACAGCCTAGGTGAGTCAGTTCTCCCCTTCTATCTTGTGGTTCCCAGAGATCCAGCTCAGGTCATCACACTTGGTGGCAAAGTTTTAAGACCAATAATAATAATAATAATAATAAAACTTCAAAAATACCTTAGACTGCCAGAATTAAAGAAGATTTATTTCTTTCTTATAATGTGTAAAATTATTTTCAGTGATCAATTAGAGGTTTTTAAACCTGAAGATAAAGTGCCTAGAAAAAAAAAACTGTTCCATTTCTTAAAGTAGGAGACATCAACATAAATTCAGAGGTTTCACCCCTAAAGCTTACTACTGTCTCTATTTGATTCTACCACATAATACATGTTGATACCAATCAGTTCCTCCCTGACAGTGCCAGCTGTAAATCTCTATTCATAGCTTGTGAAGGTGAGTTCTCACTGCATAGTCAATTACCAGATGCCAATTCCCTTACATGCACTATCACAGTTAACCCCAACCATCATTCAGCAGCATCTTTTTAGCGTCCTTATTTTACTGACAAGGATCAAAGGCAAAATCCTGCTCTCTTTGCTACAGCAGAGGTTTAGGAGCCATTTTATAGGAGCCATTCTGAGTTTGTATCAGTTTAAATCTAAAAACAACTTTTCCTTTTTAGTTTTCTTCAGGGAAAAGCAACAGAGTAAGCCTTTGCTCTGAGAGTTTCTAACCTTGACAACCTTGACCAATGAAGACATTTAAAAAAAACATTTGGAAGAATGTCCTTGTTCTTATCTTCAGAGTTTAGACAAGATTCTTGGGTGAACACATGAAACTCTTGTATGGAGTATTAACTCTTTCTCAGATAATAAGGACATCTTTCAATATTATTATTTTGATAATTATAATATGTAATTAAGCTTAACATGTTATTGTGCACTTGTAATCCCAGCACTGATAAGGTTGAGGCTGGAAGTTTCTGAGTTCAAGGCTAACCTAGGCTACATAGCAGTAACTTGTCTCTGTTACCTGAAAGAAGGGAAGGGAGAGAGAGAGGAGGGGAAGGAGGAAGAGAAGAAGGGAGGGAGGGGAGAGAGGAGGGGACAGGAGACAAGAGGAGAGGAGACGAGAGGATAAGAGACGAGAGGAGAGCAGAGGAGAGGAGAGGAGAGGAGAGGAGAGGAGAGGAGAGGAGAGGAGAGGAGAGGAGAGGAGAGGAGAGGAGAGGAGAGGAGAGGAGAGGAGAGGAGAGGAGAGGAGAGGAGAGGAGAGGAGAGGAGAGGAGAGGAGAACAAACCATAACTCTATAAAGTTTCATTACTTAAGACTATGCATCAAAGTTCTCTGGCAGTCACCCAAATTCATTTGAGATTATAATTGTAAGTTTTAAGATGAAGATAGAAGCCAGTTCAATGGTTCAATGTAAAGGCATTTTCCACCAAGCCCCATGTCCAATGAGTTCCAATCCCCAGGGACCCACATGATGAAAGGATAGAATCTGTTCGTTATGTAAGTTGTCCTCTGGTTCCCCCACACATGATGGTATTCACAAACTCCACTCCACACATACACATAAAATATAACTATATTAATATTTTTTGCATTCAAACATATGAATTGATTTTATCTGCTGTTCAGTTCAAGCTTACTAAGAAGCTAATATTTTAGAACAAACAAAACTAAGTTCCTGTTTCAGCTCTATGAATAGCTACATCCTATCACTTTGGGCAATTTACCTGCTAAAGTAATTTTCTTTCCATTCTTTCCCTAAGAAGTATATATTTCCTATAATCAAGGAAGTAGAAAAAAACAGGTGTCCATTTGTCCTAGCAATTGGGAAGCAGCAGTTTCGAGGCCAACCTAATCTATCAAGCAGTTCCAGGACACTCAGAGCTGTTACACAGAGAAATCGTGTCTTGAAAAACAAAACAAAACAGAAAAAAAAAAAAAAACCACCAAAAAACCGTTGAGAGGAAGCCTGGATATTCACATGCCTGCCCACCCTCCAACTGTAAAAACATGAGATGGAAGAACAGTTCGTCCCTTAAAACCCCAGAGGAAATCATCAGCTGCTCCTTGAGATAAAAGCTGAGGTATAAAACCAGTAGAAGGATCAGGTTAAACAAAGAACAACCATGAAGTTCTCTTTGCTTATGGTTGTGATCTCTACCACACTTGTGATGGCTCATGTTCGCTTTGACAGGTAAACTTGCCTTCCTTTGATCCAGTCTCTGGCTGAGAAGAAAATGAAGGAATATGTCTTTACAATCCACTCAGGCTTTGTTTAGTTTGTCTTTTTTACTAGTTTTTGGTTTTTTGTTTGTTTATTTATTTATTTTTGCTTCTTTGATTTTTGTCTTTTGCTTACTTGAAGGGAGAAGGTATTCCGAGTGGAGCCCCAGGATGGAAAGCAAGCAAGCGTCTTGAAGGACTTGACCCAAACCATTAAGGTAAAACATTCAGAAGAGTGTTACATCTTTCTTTTCTATTCTGTAAGAGATATTCTTTTTATTTTCTCTTCAATGACCATAGGGACATCAAAGACTGACAAACAAGTAGAGATGACAGGCACCAGTTGGATCATACACCACTTTATTTTCTTTCAATAGTTCACTGCTTTTTCTTCCAGATTCACAAGCAATCACTTCTTTTATTTATTTATTTATTTATTTATTTATTTATTTATTTATTAAAGATTTCTGTCTCTTCCCCCCAGCCGCCTCCCCTTTCCCTCCCCCTCCCCCAATCAAGTCCCCCTCCCTCGTCAGCCCAAAGAGCAATCAGGGTTCTCTGCCCTGTGGGAAGTCCAAGGACCACCCTCCTCCATCCAGGTCTAGTAAGGTGAGCATCCAAACTGCCTAGGCTCTCACAAAGCCAATACGTGCAGTAGGATCAAAAACCCATTGCCATTGTTCTTGAGGTCTCAGTAGTCCTCATTGTCCACTATGTTCAGCAAGACCAGTTTTAACCCAGGCTTTTTCAGACCCAGGCCAGCTGGCCTTGGTGAGTTCCCAATAGAACATCCCCATTGTCTCAGTGTGGGGGTGCACCCCTCGCGGTCCTGAGTTCCTTGCTCGTGCTCTCTCTCCTTCTGCTCCTGATTTGGACCTTGAGATTTCAGTCCGGTGCTCCAATGTGGGTCTCTGTCTCTGTCTCCTTTCATCGCCTGATGAAGGTTAATATTCAGGAGGATGCCTATATGTTTTTCTTTGGGTTCTCCTTCTTATTTAGCTTCTCTAAGAACCCGAAAATCAGTTGCCTTCCTATACACTAAGGATAAAGAAACAGAGAGGGAAATCAGAGAAGCATCACCTTTCACCATAGCCACAAAAAGCAATCACTTCTTAATAAATATATAAATCAAGGGACATTGTTGGCACCTTTCCCTCTTGTCTGTATTCTGCATCAGCCCACCCCAGTATCTGCTTCAATTTCTCCTGGAGACTTCTGTTCAAGTAAAAACTGATGACTGTAAAGTTCTTTGCCAAGAGTGGGTCCTCTGTCGAAAGAAATTCTTAACTGTAAAGCAGTTCCTTAAACTCCAACAGAAAAGGGAACACTATCACTGGTTCAGCCACTTCTTTTACACAAGACTCTTTGTCCCAGTCACCTTCCTTCTGTTTTATATTTACCAGTAGATTTGCAATGTAACACCTTTAAAACACTGGGCCAGAAGTAAAAAGATAGTAAGTTAAATGGCCAAAATTACAATCAGATTTAAACTCAGAACCAAGCCTGGCTTTCATTCTAGTGACACTCATCTCTTCAGTCAAACCAGACGAATTCTGTCAGTTCTAATTCCTGAGCATTCCTCACACCCACATGGTCACCTCCTCTGTGCTGTCAATGGCAAGTCCTTCCTGCCTCTTATTCAATTCTGGTGTCCCTTTTGTAGCACACCAGCATCCAGTGTTTCAGTTCCACCTTCCACAATCTTAAAACTTGACAGCTGTGCTTCCTAATTTGAAAATGTTTATGAGGACAGCCTGTTGTTCAGAGCCAGATGCAAGGGTTCAAATCCTAGCTAAACTGGCTTTGTGGCTTTAGGCAAGTTTCAGATGCTCATGGGGCATCGACCTCTTCTTCTGTAGTACAGTTTATAATCTTGCATGCAGCAGCAGTAGCAACAACAATGGATATCACAGGCTTCTGGTTTTGTTGGAAAAAAAAAACTATTAAAGTATTTTCTGTGGGTTTTGGTTTAGCCAGTGTCCTCCAAGATTTGACACCTGGCTAGCCTCTTTATTATCAAGCACAAGACCCTGCTCTCTGTTTCCTGACCCTAGAGTTTCATGGACATCACAATTTCACCATCTTGTATTTGTGTTCTCATGAGGAATGTGATTCTCTAATATTTATTTATCTGACTGAGTCTTCTTGTTTCAACAAGACTCAGATCAGCCTTGCTCTTTTTTGTTAGGACACCCTCCCCTTCCTCTGCTCTTACCTAACATGGCAGAAATATGCATATTTGGCTTTGTCTGCCACACAAAACCTCTTCTTACAACTTCCCTGTAAGACACTTCTGTGGCATCCACCTCTGCATCTACTGCTTAATAAATGTCCACAACAGTTCTTTGATCTTAAAATTCCTCCCCCACATTTTCTTGCTTTAACACAGATTTGTTACTGTGTAAAGTTGATGTGTCCAACTTATATGATGTTTCAAAGTAAACAGATGTGTTGATTGGTTCATAAAAATCTCTTGCTGTCTCATAATGGACTTCACAAGAGCTAACGTGCAATGTAACTAAGAGATATCAAAGGTGACTTGGACATGCCTCAATCTTGTAGTGATGATAGAGACTGGATATTGTTCTCATATCTCCCAGGTGGGGTATAATGGTGGAGTATGGGCATCTTCTTCACATCTCAGAGGTGGAGTGTGGTGGTAGAGACTGAGCATCTCCTTCACATCCCCCTGACCGGGAATTTGTACTTCACTTGGCTTCAAAAGTGACAGCTATTTTAAAGAACCATGAAATTGTTTTCTCTCTATTTTAACCAAAATGCTTTCCTTGTCTGCTTGTTCATCAAATTGCTGAGATTCTCAGCTGTGGGAACATAGTAAAGATGAAACCATCTCTTATGAAATCTCAGGATGTCTAAGAATGCATTCACCTCACTATATCCACAGTACTCACCAAGGAATCCTAATGGCCATATTTTTTCCTTAAGTAACACTGAAAAAAAATCAATTCCATTGACTTGATCAAGGATGTACTACTAAAATAATAAAATTAAAAGAGGTTAATAAGGTATATCTTCTTGACAAATACAAACCTTCCAGAAATTCCAGAATTCACAGAGAAATACATGGGAGGAGTCAGAAAATTATAAAAGCCAATTGTGGTTAAATCAGTTATGAAATAATTTTGTTCACATCCAGAATGATAGAAGTAAAGGGAGATTAACTAAAGTGGTTGTCTCTTCTATTTTCTCTGATAAATGCATTGTCCTAAAATTCTAGTTAGTATAATTTTCTTTCTTGCTCCTTGATATTCAATAGTTTTTAAATACATTTGTCTAAAAATTTTTCATTACCTTATTGATTACACAGAACTCTACACCATTTTATCGTGAATAATATGTGGTCAGTGTATGTGTGGTATCTGTGTTTACTGCAGTGCATGTTCTCCTGTGTGTGGGTAGCATGTATGATACCCATCTAAAAACAGAGGCCAGAAGAAATCTTCAAATGTTTTTATCATTTTGCCTTTTTTCTTTTTTTTAATTAATTAATTTATTTATTTATTTATTATGTATACAATATTCTGTCTGTGTGTATAACCGCAGGCCAGAAGAGGGCACCAGACCCTGTCACAGATGGTTGTGAGCCACCATGTGGTTGCTGGGAATTGAACTCAGGACCTTTGGAAGAGCAGGCAATGCTCTTAACCTCTGAGCCATCTCTCCAGCCCGCCTTTTTTCTTTGAGAAAAGATTTCTCCCTAAACCCAGGAACCAACAAGCCCTGGAAATGCTCATATTTTTATTCCCCGCCATTCTGAAGTTACAAGTGTGCATGGCCACATTCAAATTTTTAAATGCGTACATGTTTATCAAACAAACAAACCAAGAGCTAACAATGGGCTTGTCTCCACAGCTTGATTTCTGGTATCCAGATGCTACTCATGATGTCGCTGCTAATATGACAGTGGATTTCCGTGTTAGTGAGAAGGATTCTCAAACTATCCAGTCTATCTTGGAACAACATAAAATGAACTATGAGTAAGTGCTGGAGAAATATCCATTTGTGTTTCATAATCAGAGTTTGAGTAACTTTGAAATTTTGGGGATGTTTTACAAATCTTTGAGGTTTTGAGGGTAGATTTTATACATGAGTACACTGTATTTTCATCATTTCTTACCCTCTCTCTCCATCCTCCAACTCTTCCAGGGTCATTCCATCCACAGACTCTGGAATTCATGACGTCATCTTCTATAATTATTGATACACACACACACACATTCTTGCTGAGATCACTTAGCATTGTTCATAGGTACATGTATTTAGGGATGACCACATAGGACTATATAACCTATCAAGGGCCTCTTTCCTGAAGAAAAGTTATCATCTCTCATTCAGCAGTTATAGACTTCTTGTAGCTCTTCAACTAGCAAAGTTTGTCCCATCCATGTTGGTGTGTTGACTGCTATGGTCATTATGCAAACCTTGTGTAGACAATTATATTGTTGGGATTTCATGTGTTCAGAAAACTGGTTGTGTCTCAAAGTCACCATCTTTCAGCAGAAATCCTGATCCTGTAGTTCTTACAGTTCTTACACCTTCTCTTCCAAGTCCTCAAAACCTAGTTGAAAAGATTGTATCCTAGATGTCCAAACTAGGGCTGGTCACCCACAGTTTACCAGTTGAGGATCTTTGCAAGATTCCATCTCTTGCAAAATGAAGCTTCTTTGGTGAGCTAAGTCTATGGGTATATGTATAAGGATTTAGAATGTAGTTAGAAGCTATAGTGATTTAGAAGAAGTAGCAGTAATAAATCTTCCTCTGGGGCAGTGATTCCCAACCTGCACATTGTGACTCCTTGGACAAACATTTGTCTCCAAAATTATTTACATTATAATGCTTATCAGTAGCAAAATTACAGTTATGAAGTAGCAATAAAAATAACTTTATGTTTGGGGTTACCACAACATGAAGAATTGCATTAAAGGATCACAGCATTAGAAAGGTTGAGAACCACTGCTCTAGGTAGGTTCTATGACCTCTCTAGCCATAGGAATTGACTAGGTCTACAGTATCAGTAATGAATTGCTTTCTACTGAATTGGCTTTAAGCCCAACTAGAAAGCTATTGTTTATCCTTAGTATAAAAGTGCCAGTGACCTGGTATGGTAGCATATGCTTTTAATCCCAGCACTCTGGAAGGAGAAGCAGGAGAATCTCTGTGAGTTCAAGGACAACCTACTATACATAGAAAGACCCTGTCTCAAAAAAAAAATAGTAACAACCATAAAAAGTGCAAGAAAGAAAAATGGAAGACAGGAAGGAAGATAAAAGTGTTACTAGGGGATATCTTGCCAGATGATCATCGCTATGGCTCATATATTTTTTTAAACATGTATGACTGCTGATTGTTTCTCTCCATTAGAAGCTTACGTACATCTTCTGATATTATACAATCTAATCCTCAGGGAGAAAGTTTCCAGGTAGTTCCAGAAAGTCATGTGTCTAAAGTGTCTTTAACAATAGGTCTTACCTTCAAATAACCTATATTGTCTTGGAAGGGTATATCTTGTAATCCCTGACCAACAACATGAAGAGATGTTTCCCTTGTCTGGAACTTAAGGTTTTATTAATAAGCTAATAAAACAATATGCTTTTCTACAGCTTTTTCAAATATTTTAGTGTTTTAGTTTTCTCTGCTTTCTCCCTTTAACCTCTTCAGGTTAAGCTCTTCTCCCTGTTTATTCTCCTCTCCCTTTCTACTTTCCAGGCTTTTGCATTTATTCCAGATCTACTCGCATCTAAAGAATTGGGTCACAAGTAGGAGAGAACATTTGGTAATTTTCTTTCTAGATATGGGTTACCACATTCAGTAAAATATTTTACAGTTACATCCATACAATGAATCTATTTTAAAATTGGGACTGCCAAACACTAAAGTACTATGTATAGAAGATAAAATTCACAGTTTCTTTCAGACTATTGGAGTACATTTATGGAGGTGATAGGGTTATTGGCAGTTCAGTCTCCATCTTACATTTGCTCTGATCTGAATAAATGGCAGCAGCCTACAGAAGCAGAGGGCTCAGGTGTGAACAAGCAAGGCAGCCTAAGAAGGGCATATCATCAAAACTGATGCTAGGTCAGGATTTATGGACTAATTGTAATAATCTGCACTGTCTTCTTTTTTAAATTGAACTGATATATAAAAATTATTCATTCTCACACTCACACACACAGAGAGAGATAGAGAGAGATAGAGAGATAGAGAGAGACATAGAGAGAGAAATCAATAAATTAACTTCATTCTTTGGGAGAGAAAAATTGACCTCAACAAAAGCAAAGCAATAGAACAAGACTTAAACTGCAAAAGAGAGAACTTCAAATAACAAAAGCTACAGGAGTAAGTCATTTTGCCTCATGGAACAGTAAAAGGAAATTATAATTTGTTGAACAACAACCACTCCAGTCTCTCTATATAGATTTACTACATAACCAAACTTCTGACTTTTGATTTGTGCTTCAGTGGCTACATCCTTCAGTTTACATAATTAATAAAGACCTGATATCAGTTCCTAGTATTACTTAATTTTCACAAAGAAACTAGCCCAAACTAAAACACAGCAGTGCTCAGGCAAATTCTATATAATCTGGTTTGAACAGCAGGATCAAAAATGAAGAGTTCTGTTTTCCTTATTACTTTTCTTACGCAGACAAAATATACAATGTTTGACATGACCATAGATGGTGATGTGAACCACTGTAAGACTGAGGCAAGAGCTGACATCATGCACCTAATCAGATACTCTTAGGCCTGCAGGCCTCTCTTATCTGAAGTGGCCTTGTAATGAGAGCCTCACAAGTGTCACTTCATCTGACACCCAGAGGGTTTCTTGTTTCCTGTATCAAGAAGCAAAATGCTAAACTATTTACTAAAATTAGATTTATCTACTTACTACAGTGTTTCTAGAAAGTGTCTCAATTTAGTTTCAGATATGTAGAAGCCAGGTAATTAAATATCTTCCTCATAAATATAAATACAAAAAGCTATCGGTAAAAACAAAAAACATTTAAAATTCTGTACCCAGGTACTTAATTTTATTTGCATATGAATTATGTGTATTAACAGAGGAGAGTTCTAAGAAAAAGGCTTGGCTAACTAAAGCTGCAGAAATTGGCTGGACACAATAATTCACTTAGCCTAGGCACTCTATATTAAACAGGGCACACAGACCATTATTCAATCTAAGGCACCTACGCATGGTATTTTTTAATTTTCAGAAAATTAAGCTACTAAAACTGATTTGATTTTAAAGTAGCATGTTAGTTCCTTTTGATTTATACTTTTACAAAGTCATAAAGATCAAATACAGAGTAAAAATAATAAGTATGTACTTGTACTAAGAAGCCCAAGCAGACTGGCAAATGGGAAAAATACACATACTGAATTGGGAGCCAGGGGGCAGATGCCACATTTCAATCACAGCTAAAACCATATGTGTTTTTTAAATAATTTTTCACATTGAGATAATGACTAGCACTCTTCTCTTTGATCAAAAATTAAAATTGGAAAATAAAGATATTCATAAAAATTAATTCAGAAACAAGCTGTTAATTCAATAAAACTTAGATGGCACGATATAATAAAATCAGAATAAGAACTCCACAAGATTATATGGAGTTGCAAGGTACAAGTATATAAACTTGCACAGTGACATTCAACACTTTAGGTCAATGCTTGATTACCTAATAATATTCATCCAGATACAAATTTATGTTTCAAATGTAAATCTGTCGTGTTAAATACTTGTCTCAATCAGATAAAGCTAATGACTTACTTAGAGTGCTATTCCATTCACTTTTCTTCCTACTCTGAGCACACAGCTGTTATTTCTTAGACATGTGAGCTTGGCTGCAAGAGATAAAGATCATGGTTTATAAAAAGAAAATAAAAATGAATAGGGGAGTGGTAGGAAAAAACATTCTGAAGCAAAACTGCCTGTGCCCAGGCTCATCCTGTTGAAATAGGAGGCAGCGGGGCTGCGTCCCCAACACCCCGGCCGCTTGGCTAGCTTATGCCCGAAATAACAACACACAAACTGTATTCATTTAACTGCTTGACCCATTTCTATCTAGCCTCTTCTAGGCTAACTCTCACACCTGGACTAGCCCATTTCTAATGATGTATGTAAGCACCCCAAGGTGCGCTTACCGGGAAGATTCTAACCTACGTCCATCCTGGGGAGCTTCATGCCTCTGCCTCAGAGCGCAGAGCTATCGTGTCTATCCAGCAGAGCTGAGCATGGCGTCTCTCCAGGAGCAGAGCAGAGTCTGACCTCACTTCCTCTTCCGCCCAGAATTCTATTCTGTTTACTCCTCCCATCTATGTTCCAAGCCATGAGGCCAAGCAGCTGGTTTATTATAACTTAACCAATGAAATCAACAGATTGATATATGACACTCCCACATCACTTCCCCTTTTTCTGTTTAAACAAAAAAAAGAAGGCTTTAACTTAACATCCAAAGCTCTAGAAATGACAGAGACATCTCGCTGCCTGGACAGTCACCCAAAGTTCCTCTGTACCGTTGGGGCATCCATCTTCGGCCTACAGGCCCATAGTTTCCAGCAGACATTTCCACAAAGCAGGAAATTTCAAAGGCAGTCACTATCTGCTTGTCCTGAAGAATGTCTTGCAGACTCTTTCATGAATCAGGAACCCCGAAAGATCATCTCACCTTTAGGCAAGTTCAGCAGTCCTCTCTCTGCGGGTTCTCTGTGTCCAGTTTATGCAATAGTCCAGGCAAGAGCAGTTTCTTGCCCAAATGGCTATCAAACTCCATAAGGATCCTCTTCGATGCCCATCTTCCTCTTGAAGTAGATTGGTGCTGCCAGGAGCAGAGTGTCTCATTGTCATGAAAAGTCCTAAGTTATTAAAACATTTAAAATGCCATATTCTATAATCTTTGAAAAATATGAAGAATGCCTATCTAAAATATATCTATGCACATCTAGAAAATCTTAACTAACATGACTACAAACTTAACTATTATTAATGATTATTCATTAACAACTTATATTTCCTAATTATACATTACATTTTAAAATGAACTACACAACACAATACCTTAATCAAGATCAAAAATGCATATAACAAAATTGACCTTAAAATCCATACCAATGCAAATTATTCATATCTATATCATATCCCCCTTTAAATGTAAAAGAACATTTATAAACAATATTTGGGAACATGGGCGTAGTTTTTTCTCTCCAAACTGCTTCCTGCTGAATGGGGGCGTCGTTAATTAGGTCTTTCATGGTATAACCTGTGTGCTAGTTTCATCTCAGTTGGCAGTTGAGCGAAGCAATTTTCTGAAGGTATTCACAGCAACCGTTCAGGAGGGCGTGGTCCATCATACCATATCGGAATAGAAGAAATGAACAGGGTCTCATCCTCTGTGAAAACAAAATAAGAAACTCCTTTCCAAAGTATCATGTCCTTAGATCCAAATTTCAAAGTCAAGGCATCAAAATCTCTACGATGGATTAGTTCAGCAGCATTTATAAACAAATATCTTTTAGCAGCTGTTGCTCCTTCCTCAGCATTCAAACAATTCAAAGAGAGCATAATAGTATACAGTATCAAGATTCTCTGTGTATTTTCCATCTTTGTACGCTTTATTTTAACCTCTATTTCGTTTATTTTTACTTTTATATTCTCTGTATCTCTTTGACCTGGAATAACTCTGTAGACCAGGCTCTCCTTGAACTCTCAGAGATCTGCCTGTCTCTGCCTCCCAGGCATTGGGATTAAAGGTGTTTGCTACCACACCTTGAACTCACAGAGATCTGTTTGTCTCTGCCTTCTAGGCACTGGGATTAAAGGCGTGTACTACCACACACAACTTCTCTTTTTCTTACTTTTTTTTAAGAACTTTTAACTTTTAGCTTGCATATATTTTTAACACACTGTAAATCATTTAAACATTTTCTTTATCTTTGAATCTCTTTACTGTATATCTCTCTTTTTCTGACCACACGAGCCTTTAAATTACTGAGCAATATGAGTAGGATTAAAGCCGTGGCTTTGCCAGCTAGATCCAGTCCATTCCTTAGCTTTCCAGCCTCATGGCTGAGGTACCGGTTGTAGCCATGTTTACTGCCACAACTCTATGGCGTTTCAAGGTCCCTGCCAGCCAGCGAGCTACAACAGACAACAGTCAAGTCCTCTCTCGCTAGTTGGCCCTCCTGCCTCAGTCAGAGTTTGCCCTGGCAGGACGGCCCAGAAAGCCGGCATTTTTAAACAGCACAGCTTTTTTCCTGCAACAGCTGAAAATCGAAAAGCATGCATTCAGCTTTTTGTCAACACCATTTAAGTATTTTGTGGCAGGACCTCTTAATGAGCTGCAGGGTTTTGCAGCTGAAGCTGAGTCAGGAAGCCTCTCTTAGATGAGAGTGCTTGCTTGCTTCTAACAAGCAGAGGAGACCCGAGAAACTGCTGCTACCAAGAAAACGTGCTTTACTCTTTCCCAAGCTTTTTCAGGCTTTCTGTGGATTCAGTTGTCCACACGTCTGGGCGCCATCTGTTTGTAATGTTTGTATGAAGGCGTAAGTCACGAACAAGGCCACACCAGTTTGGAGTTATGATTAATAGGGTGTTATTTATTTAAAGGGGTAAACTTACAGATCACCGTCCCAGACAACAGCCATCTGCACAACCAGGAAGGGAGTCTAGTCTCCGGCGGAGCAGGAAGTGAAGAGAGCGAGCAGAGGAAATAGCGGCTTTTTTAAAGGGAGAGAGACCACGCCCCAATGGGCTGGTATCACAGCAGCTATTGGTTGGAGGGGCGGAAGGACCTCCCGCAACATCATCCAAGTTGGTTATTTGTCACTATTTAAAATGTGATATTAAAGGAGCTATTTCACAGGATTTTTATGAGGAGTGACTGATTCTATAGGGTTGGTTCCTTCCATTAGCTCAGGAAGAGGAAAGGTCATTCACGTGCATGTGTACATAAGCTCTCACACACAAACACTTTCAGTGCAATGGAGAACTGAAGGCCCTTATCAGATGCTCTTCCTCTCTCTAGAGAACAAGTCTATACCATAAAGTTTATTTTTCACTTTATGATATTCCTCAGACATTAGGAAATCCATGTCATCAAATCCAGAGCTCAATGCACATGGTAACCCAATTAGGAAACTATCAAAATCCAACTTTATAAAATCTAAAAGTATATTTCTAAAATAGCTCTGCTATAACGTAGTCATCAAGGGAGTACATGCCAGTTGTATAAAACAAGCTAACAACAAGCTCCCCCTGCCGCCTCTCTCTGTCTCTGTCTCTCTGTCACACACACACACACACACACAGAGAGAGAGAGAGAGAGAGAGAGAGAGAGAGAGAGAGAGAGAGAGAGAGAGAGCAGTTAGACATTGGCCCATAGATATCTCACCTTTCTTTTATACTCTCTAAAAGTAGCCTTGAAATTATGGCAAGGGAGAATAGAATGAGGTGGGAATTCCAAGCAGAGATAGAGGGAAAAGGAAGGTGGAGTTAGAGAGATGCCATGTAGCTGCCAAAGGACTAACATGCTAGCACTGGTAAGCCACAGCCTATGGCAATACATAGATTAAATAAAAAGGGGGTTATTTTAAGAGTTAGCTAAAAATAAGCTTAAGCTATCGGCCAAACAATGTTGTAATTAGTACAGTTTCTGTGTTATTATTTGGGCCTGGGTGGCCAGGAAATGAACAAGCAGTCTCTGTCTACACATGTGTTCAAGAATAAGTTCATGATCCTGGATAGTAAATCCACAAATAAAAAATACATTAAAATATTTATGCACATAATGAAAATAGTACTATTGAAACAAAGTTGAAGTATTTTGGATTCTAATTCCCAGCTCCAAATACACAGATACTTTAACTACAGGGTTGGCAACATGGTTGAGTGAGTAAAGGAGTTTGCTGATGTATCTGTCTTCCTAAGTTTGGTCTCAGACATCCACATGAGAAGAGAGAACTGACTCCTATAAGTCCCCCCTTGGCCTCTACACACACAAAACACACACACATGCATGCACACACATGCATGCCCACACATACGCATGCACACACTCAATAAATAAACAAATGAATGTGTAAAAAGTTACAGATTATAAGCATATAGTATTTCTGAGCAATAGCTTCCTTATTTGTTATATGGCAATAATATTAACAGGATCAAACAATGTATATAAAACAGAATCTGGACCATGTTAAACACATTTAGAACAGAGTACAAGAGAAAATTTAAGAGTTAGTAGCTTGATGTGTTTAGAAGTTTGGGAGAAAGGTCAACACTAAAATTTCAATACAGACAGACCTTATGTGGCCAGAAATACTCCAATCTATAAGATCTTGGAAATAGTAAGATGAGTTGATGCAAGAAGAGATGAAAATTGAAAGTAGAGGCATAAGCTTTTTGACCCCAACAGTTTCACCATCTCAATGACTTTTCTCACTCTTTTTTTTACCCCTTCAAAAATCACCCTAGCCACTCATATTCTAGCTCTATCATTAGATAACATATTTGAACACATTGTGCCTTAGATTTTGTCATCAGTCAAATGAGGTTAAGAATTCCTTGTAAAGATGAAGTGACTTAATGAGCATAAAGGTTTAGAAAAATACTTGGTTTGTGCTAAGTGCTGAATTCCCAGTTTTATTGCCATCATTGTTGTTATTCGACATTTTCCCTAGATTTCAAAAGCTAAGCAATAAAATCTGTTTAGTAGATTTGTGCATGAGAATACTCACTGCTGCCTGTGTGATATAGATGTGCCTGTGTGTACTTTGGAAGCTAGGTGCATTATATAGATACAGTCTGAGTCAGATGTGTGGTTTCAAACATGCCACTAGTTCATTGTAAGTGAAAAAAGGAGTAGAAATAATTACTTTTGTTTAACTAAATATAGAGTAAATATTACTATTTAAGCATATAAGCAATATCAACCATATTAGTGAATTATTTTACATAAAAATTCTTTGAAATGTCATGCATAATGTACATTTGCTATAATCTTTACTTCTGGGCAAGGTTGTTATAAGTTCTGGATAGCAACATGAATCCAGAACTATCATAATGGTATATATAGCCCAGATAGATGGGGGAACAGATGCCACACAATACTTGTTTAAGGAGATGACTAGGGCAGAGCAGTCAGGAAATGGGATTTGTTTTAGATAGAGGAGAGGAAGAGGCACTTTTCTGAAAATGAAAGATAAATGTTCTCTTTCCTGTGATAAAATGTTCATGTGATAAATGTGTTTTATCATCCTGCTGTCAAACAGAATTCTGATACACGATCTACAAGAAGAGATTGAGAAACAGTTTGATGTGGCTGATGAAGTCTCAGGCAGGCACAGCTATGCAAAATACAATGACTGGGGCAAGGTATGGTGTACAATGCCTAGTATAGTCTTTTTTAAATGACTGTGTTCTTTTGCCCAAGGCAATTTTCCTTTATTTTAATTCTTTGAATTTGATTTTGTTCTTAAGATTGTTTCTTGGACTGAAAAAATTGTAGAGAAGTATCCTGAAATGGTCTCAAGAATCAAAATTGGATCAACTTTTGAAGATAATCCGTTATATGTTCTCAAGGTAAAAATAATTCAAGAACCATTAATTAGCTTGTTGTCTTAAAACATGGGCACAAAAGTCATTTAGTGGTAGCTGAGATAAATTTAAATTTGGAAATCATTTCATTGTTTGAAAGTTTAAACTCTGGATGTCAATTCAAGAACATATATTACACTCTCTGATGCAATCAAAAACATACGAATATGCAGTTACTAGAGATTTCATAATGAGCAAACCAAGAAATATTTCACAGGAAAACTCTGATATAATGGTTTGCAGTGTCCCTGTCTACACACCTCTTTCCAATCTATTGAGATGGAATGAAACTAGTGAATGAATATTATGATGAAAAAATTAAATATCACGCATGTGTAAGACCAGAGCTTATCAGAGCTCAGGATTCATGAAGGAACCACCACTTAACTACTACCCGACTCTGTAGACACAAAGATTCTGCTCCCTGGCAGCTCATTTGTAACTAGGAAGGCATCCACATCATATATTTCCATTAATCAGTGTCTCCATCCACCCAAACTAAATCTGAACTTGGTTTAAAACAGAAGCCTTTCAAATACCAGATGCAGATCCTGTACCTTACTTAACATACAGTACCAGGCCACACCCCAGGCTGAATGCTTCCAGTTTATGAACTATCTTTAAAATTCTTAGCACAGAACATTAACAATGGAGTAAGGGAAACAATATATAGTGTGGCTGCTTTTTTATTTTTGTGGGTACATAGATATTTTTTGATACAATTTTGAGTTTGCTGCATACCCCAGGATGACCTGAAACTCAGGAGTGCTGGGATTACAGGTATGCATGTGACATCCTGTCCAAGAAGAGGCGGTAGGTTTTAAATTTTTTATTACTTGTGTGTTCGTGTGTACATGTGTGTCGTTGCATGCATGTCATGGAACATGTAGATGACAGAGGCCAACTTTTAGAGTCAGTTCTTCCCTTTCATCATATGAATCCAAAAGACTGAATTCAGGTCATAAGGCTTAGCATCAAGTGCCTTTATCCACTGAGCCTTCTCACTGACACTATATTTCATTTTCTGAAAATATGTTTTATCCTTAATAGGATGTATTTGCTTGGACAGCTGCATATGAATATGTACATGTGAATGTTGGTATCCAAGGGAGTAAAAGCAGGAATCAGTTGCCCTGCAGCTGGAGTTCCAGGCAGTTGCAAGTCACTAGATATGGGCTCTGGGAACAGAACTCAGACCCACTGCGAGAGCAGTACTTTAATGGAAAAACCAGAGTCATGAAACCAAGGTTCCTACAGAGTACAGGAAACAGGAAGGGACGCACAGGCTTCTGCCTGCACAATTTATAAGTAAACGCTCGCCCGAGGCCAGCTCGCCCCCAGTGGACTGGCTTATCCTTACATCTCCCCCTTTTTGTCTAAATAAGACAGAACTAAACCAAATACAACTATAAACTATAATAACAAATAATAAATATAACAAACAATATTGAGAACAAAAGTTTTGCCGGACATTCTATCACAAGGAGTCTAAATAATGTAGAGCGTAATTACAATTATATAATCTTCAACTCCATCAAAGATCTGAGAAGGGAATAAATATTACTTAACAAATGAGAGATATCCAAAATGTGCCATAAATGACAGAGACAACTGACTACCTGGGCAATCAACCAAATTCTCTTTCGCAATGTTGAGTCAACCAACTTTGGCTAAGGCCTAGCATAACTGACATACCATTATCAAATGCAAGGAACTTTCTTAGAATTACCCTACCCTGTCTTGGCAAGATAAGACAATCCTGCTTCATATCATTGTCAGTAGATGAGGTATGGGCTTTTCTTAAGCCAAAGGCCAGTTCTGCCAAGAAGACAAGCTCCCAGTGGAGTATCTTTGGTGCTCAACGTTCTCTCTGGAGTAGAGTGGCGTTGCCAGGAGTAATTGTGTCTCGTTGGCACAGAATTCTAGGTTAGATTAAAGGTCATTTTCTACAGCTCTTTAAAGAGGCTGAAAATTATACTATCTATACGAAATATAATCTCTATGTATCTAGAATACCTGATTAACCTAAAAATAAACATGACAAACATATAATTCTTAATACCTATCTAACTTGAAGATTAAGAGAA